AACCGTCTTAAAAACGAAATATACTCATTGTAAAAAATACTAAACTCAAATTAAAATACAAGTAAGTAAGTACAATATCCAAAACAATAAACTATTTCAACAAGTTGATTATTATTAATGAGCTTCAGTATAACTAATACCCGCAAACCTATGGAAATAGTCAATTAAATCGGTCAACTAATAAAATTGTTGTGTCATTCGAGTATTATAAAAACTAGAGCAGCATCACCCTACAAAGTATTGTTAAATATAAATCAAATAACATAAAAGATAAACATATCCAAATAATAACACAAATAAATACACTCGTACAACTAGTCGTCTTATATCTTAAGTACACTATATTATATATCTTTGGCAAGTGTAACAAAATCAATAAAATAAAAACATTGTATATATTTGTTCATCTCACTCTCTTATCCCTACATTCCATATTTACACAATAATTTCCTACTAATCTTCATCTGTGTCGATGTAAACGTAAACTAATCACAAACAAATTTGTACAGTATGTATTACAATAATTCTATAGAAGTGGGCAGCTTATGTTTACAGTGCATGAAGATCAACTGGATTATTTGAAGAGTAATACAAATTAATTATATTTTGTTAGCATAAGTAAAGGATGAGCGAGAAACTACTTATTAACTTCAATAAATGACACAGCTTTATGTCTAAATGGACTGTTTGCCTTTTAGTTGTACATTATCCTAGTGTCAACAACTTTTTACATATTTACCATTAGTATTAAAATTACAACAAAAAGATAAGTAGTTAAGAGTTTTGTAATAATATATGACTAGAAACTTCTGTGAGCAATTATTTATGATCAACGTTGAGTTTTATGTTTTGTTATTCGGACTCATTTTTTAATAATTAAGCTATAACGATAAAAAAATTCACAAATGTTTTAAAATTTGAAAATCTTGATTCAATGCATAATTACTCGTACATAAATTTTCAAAGGTGTGATAATTTAACAAAATATGTTTCAGTTGTATTTTTAACTTTTTCTTCTTGAAGATAGTTGAAATTAAACTTTAGACAATTTTTTTTAGTTTAGATATAAAAAAAACGTTGGTGCTTTCATTGATAATATTTACAAATGTAATCAGTTAATATTATAAAGTGTTTTTTCCTAATACTTTTGATTGAAACAAAAACTAAGTACAGTATAATCATTGACTATTGGATACAGATAGTCAAAGGTATAATCCAAAAAGTGTTAAAAGGTAATCAAATGTTAAAGTTTTGATTTTATCAGTTCAATTCGACTATTATTATTCTGACATTTCTTCACAAAGGTTCATCATACAAAACTTCATAACTTTTAAGAACTACTCAGGAAGAAAAATAACTTTAAGATTACTATTAAAAATTACACAACCTTTTGTCATAATGGGAAAAATATCACGACAAACAAAAATTGTGTTTTTCCGACGGTTTTCAACACGAGATACAAATACTTATTACCGACAACATTTACAGAGTTTAAAACCGTCTAGTTTGTATTACAATGATAGCTGCACCACGTTGTAAAGATATTATAGACACAAGTCAATGCTTTAGCAGAATGAGAATATTCTGTACCAATTACTGGAATTCATCGTCTGAGGAGAGCAGCATAGTTTTCTCGTTGTACCCCGAGCTGATGGTAGCAACTCGCTGGCTAGGAGCTGTCGTCTGCTTCTTTGGGTGGGGGGTATGTGGGGGGTCGTCGGCGTCGTACCCCCCTGCTCTAGAATTCCTTTGAGCCCCTCCTGTAACTGTGGAACAAAATATTGTGACACACAGTAGAGAAAATGGTTGTATATTTTACTATTGAGCGAAAATAACAGCAACAAACGTTCTTCGTACTTTCCACTGCTACTGTATAATGTTACGCTACAAGGCTGAGAAGCAGTACAAGCATCATGGTTCCACGATTTCTAGTGAGTACCTACCTGGATATGTCATATACAATACTTTTTGCCACATTACCAGTAACAGATACAGGATAAGTAAAACACAACCTCTATAACAACACTCTTAAGTACACTTTACAATTTTAACAGAATCAACAACTGTTTTAAAAGGTAACGTTTTTATACCTTTTCAATATGTATTTTGTGAAAAAAACAATGTGCCTGGCCAAACGTGTCTAATATTTATCGTGTAGCTCAAGTGGTACGTTGAACCTAACCTAAAATTGCTAGTGACATTGTGTGCTTATACTGGCAATTGACCCGTTCGGCCGATGGTGGCATGGTTGGTAGCGGTAGCCAAGTTGGCTAAGGCATTGCCATGAGTGTAACTACTCATGAGTGTAGTGTTGGGGTAGTTCTACGTGCGCAGGTTCAAATCCCGTAATGTGAATTCTATATTGAGCTTGCTAATGTGTGGCTTAGCTGGAGAGGAGGGTCCACCTTTAACAAACGGTGTCCCGCTTAAGTGGAAGTTGACGGCATTAGTGAGTTAAATTAGGTTTCCACACAACAGCTATTTTACTCCTTTTTACATTGGTATAGAGGAGGACACAGACTTTTCTTGTTTGGCATGTATTTTGGTGTTAAAATACATATATGATAAGACATAAAAGGACATACCCTAAAAATATTAATAAATTTAAAAAATTCCGTCGTCAATGGGTTAAAAAGTTTGTGATTTTTTCATACAAAATACTACTGGCATGAACACTAATGAATAAATACTGCAAGTGGTGAGTTTATCGCAAAGAACTACGGGTTATTGATCTTTCTCCAACATTTTATGGTTGAAGGTTGTATATGATTTGTGCTGCAAAGCCTCAAGCCTAGAGATATAAAGATAAAATCAATCTTCTGCGATGGGAAATCCTGCTTAAATACTTAATAATTATAATTTAGTGAGTTGTTGGGTCGTTGAATAGTGCGACGGACTACGGATTCATGACAGCACAGTCGTGGGTTTGCACTCTGGTACTCACCACTAAGTTTTACCAGTAGGCCTACAGTTCAATCTTGCACTGCATCGGATCGCCCATTACTTCGGTGGATACGTTACACACACACAGGCCCAATGCCTAGTGTATTGGCAAATGCATGGTTAAAAGAAGCTGCCAACCTCATATTCATTTAAAAAATTATTAGCTATCCCTGATTAAAGGACTTTAAACAAGTGGTTCTGGCTAAAAAATCAGCTTATCTTAGACAGCAACAAAGCTCAACTTGTCCTTCCAACACTCATCCTTCAATCATCTTTGCTTAAAACACACATCCTGGTGTGTCAGCTTCATATCTTATCTTATCTTGAACCATTTGTGGAAATGTAATTTTGCCATGGATGTTCTTTGCTAAGTTGCCATAATATTTTACACATCAAAATCATCAAACACATTTTTTATCTAAGCCTTTTCTTTTTTTTCAATTAAATGAAAAAAAATTCTGCAAGTTTTAAGTTACAAATGATCAAATTATGGAAACTTAATGTGTAAAATAAGCGTGCTTGGCAAACTAATTTATCATTTCATGATTCAAAATGTTGCATAGATTAAGTATTACGTGTGATCATGGTGAACCATAGGATGCATTTTGTCTGTAGGCAATACAGACGTTAAATGTTAATATCCTGAGTTTAATGCAGTGCAAAGTTGTCGTCTTGCAAACATGTAGGAAGAAAAGGTTACTCATTGACTCTGTTTAAGTCATCAACAGTAAAAAAACAATTCAAATGTTTGATAATCATAAAAAATAGTTTAAGGTCAACCCCCCCCCTCCCCCCCGGTTCACAAGTATAAAATAAAAAAATTTTCAGATCAAAACTTACCTTTAAAAATAACAATTATTAGTACCTTACTGGTTTTTATTTTATTTTAAAACATATCCACGCTTGGATGGCGAGGCCAAAAACCTTTTGACGTTTGAGTGGCCGCGTAGGTAAGGTAAGTACTTTCCTCGACATTAAAAAATATACAAAGACCCTAAACTGTTTAAACCAGAATAGCGGTTAAACCTATAATCATCTCCCTCTCATAGTAAAATTGGGAGCATTTCATGCAATTACATGTTTTATTTTACCACGTTCTACAACCTTTAAAAGGGAACCAACGTAACACTGTTAATAAATGGATATTCAGCATGCAACTGACGATTATTTTAAATCAAATGTCTCATACCAAATTCTAGTACAGCTTACAGACTTTTTCCACTCATCAAATTCAACTACGATTCAAGATTTCTTCGTTTGACTGGACAAGGAGTAAATTTATGAAACGCAACTAATATTTCTGAAGTCTTGGTCTTTAAAAAGGCTGAGTTTGTTTGAGGTAACTAACTGAGCTGGGAGGTCAAAAGATTTGACAAGGTGTCGCTGAAACTATGCTATCATTGACTGGGGTACACCCAATTGTTGATGTAAAAGAATTTTTATTTTATTTTACAGTACAAAGAGTGTTCTATATTTTGGAAGCCCTGTGTGTCCCGGAATTTACGGTTTAAACCAAAAGAATGGCTTGCAACACCTTACATGTTAGAAAATACGAAACTAACAGACAGTTTCACCCAGGCCTTTAAAATGCTACGTTTACCACATTGAGTTCTGAAACCAGCTGATATTGCAACATCCTAGTGTGTTCCAGAATAAGATTTGGACAAAAGTAAAATGAAAGAAACATGATAAAAATAAAATGAATATTGCGATGAAGTAAAAATTTTTTGTGTGAAAATGGGTTGAGATCACAGGACTAAAAAAATGGAGTCTTAATTAAATAATTAAGACTAAAATTAAGTCCATTAGTTATAAAAAGTGGGGGAAATATTATTGCTAGATAGTCAAAATTTGATGAAAATGGGAAAAACAAATTGTAAAACTGGGGTAAAAAGCTAATGAAAACCTAAAAAAATTCTACACTTAACAACTCATGTCAATAATGTCAAAATCTCTAAAAATATGAGCAAGTTAAAACAAATAACAAGCAAAAACAACACTAGGGGTTACATGCTAAAAATATATAAAGGAGTAAAATAAAAATGAGCACACCGACATTACATCCAATCAGCTATATTTAACCTATAAATCTAAATAAATACACAACTCGTTACAAAAATTACAATATCTTAGAACAAAATACTATGTTAAATGACATAAAATCCTACACATGGAATGTGTTTTTTTTTAACTTATGCTAAGAATGTATTGCAACAAATATCCCATGAATCGCAATATACAAAGCATTCACGAATTAAAACATATCACAAAAATAAAAAAATAACCTAGACACTGAATATTAAGTTTGTTCGTGCATTTGATTTAAAGCCGTTTTATATGTTTAGCAATATTACAGTTAGTTTTTAAACATTTGTTCTACTTAAATAACTATACAAAATTAAACTGCTTAAATTAGGCCTACACTGAAAAATGAGTGATTCAGCTAGTTTAGTTTCAAAATAAAATTCAGAAAATCTTTCAAATTTAGTTTTTAAGTACAATTTATCCACTTTAAAAAAAGCTTCTATTCAAACTTTTAGTTATATTTTAATTCACTAAGTTACAGCAATAGGTTTTATTTGCCAAGTCAACAACAAAAAACACAGTTTTTAAAGCAATCAAAATAAATTATCCTTACATGTTAATGCATATTTTATCGAGGACAACAACAAAGCCCTATTTAAAGCCAATGGTTAACAGGAACAATAAAAATTTATGTAACGGGTACAAAAAATAATAAGATTTTTGATGAAATGAGGCCAATAATGTTAACAAAGTAACACAAAATAAGGCACTTGGATGATATAAGTAGGGATGGTCAAGTCTCGAAATTTCGGGAAATTTTCGGGAAATTTTCAATCTCGTTACACGAGACGAGATTACTTTTTGGCCGAGATTTTTATCGAGACGAGAATAAAAAAAAAAAAAAAAAAAAAAAAAAAAAATTAAAAACGCCTGCAGAAAGTCAATGCAATACCCGCAATACAGGAGCGTGTTGTAGTTGCGTTTCCTTTTCGAAGGCGTTCTTATTTAATTAATTCTTTTAATGTAAATATTACTTTCATTATTTTAATAATATTACTTTAATAACATTTGAGAAGTTTTGTTAAGTGTAAGCAGTGTGAGGAATGTTTTATTACTATAAAAAAAGTCAAAACAAGTAACTATTTTATAAAAATTAATATTGCTTTTATTTTATGATTTATTTTATTTTAGGATAAGTTGAACTCTATCCTAACTGATATCACCATGTTTCCTAATCGTAGGCATTTTTAATAAGTTAGGCGTGATTAATAAAAAAATGTTATGCTGATGTTATTTAATGAAAGATTGTAAATATTCTTGCCTATTATCATTATTTTAGTATTTAAACAGTCATCTAACAATGTTAAAAAATCAGGTAAAAATTTCGAACGTGCATTTCCCGTTGTGTATGAGAAGAGAAATCTCGTCTCGATCTCGTCTCGAAATTTTATGAGAAATAAAAAATCTCGTCTCGTCTCGTCTCGAACTAAAAATCCAATCTCGTCCATCCCTAGATATAAGTAAATTGAAACTAAGAAATATATCAAATCTGGTTGGTAGAAATAATTCTGCTTCAAGATTCAAGAAAAAAAAAATGTTTAATGCTTATAGATAGTATTCATTTTTAAAGGATATTGTTCTTTTTCCCATTTTAAGAGAATACTCTGCTAAATACTGATATAACTCAATAGTTAGTCAGACTTATCATAAGACTAAACTAATACAATACTTACAATAAAATGTGACAAGGCTAAACAGTATCATTTTGATTGTATTACAATTTCAAACTGCACAACTACTTTATTGTACGATTGAAAATTATAAATACTGTAAATTTAATACTCAGTTTACTTTCCAGCAAAAATTTGAAATTATATCCTTCCAATCATACCAACCAGGTTTGAAATGGGGCAAAATACACTGAATTGAACGTCGAAACATGCGAGGAAAGAGCAATAATTGCATGCCAACGCAACGATCACAGTCATGCAGCAAGACAGGGGTGCCACTACGCAGCACACAGGGAGCAGGTGCGCCAACTACGCAGTTCACAATTTGTCATAAGGCTGATTGGTCGAAGATCCGACTTCTGCAAAACAGAGAGAAAGTCATGCAAAGCCAAGATTGGACGAGCTAGGCGAATGTTGATTGGTAGAGGAATAGTTTGGCTTTAAATGATTAAAAAAATAAAAATAATCTTATCAGTAGCGATTTTAGACTAAAATAACTCTGTTGCATTGAAAAATATTAATTTTCTTGCATTGTTTTGCAATTATAAAATTTAAGGGTGTGAAGAGTTTTAGCCCAATTTAGGCTTTTTTAAGGAAAGATTTTATTTGAGAAAAAAGAACAAAAGTAAATTTTACAGAAGACTTTATAAAACTTGTATCATCTTGCGTTTTTTATTGAAAGTACAACGCCAACCCAGATTAAATGTCCAAAGCATTGTGACTAAGTGAAATAGTGTATTGAAAGTGCCTACTTGCTGTGTGAATTAGGAAATCAATATACAAAAGATTCAAGGTAGTATATTTTGTCATTACGACCAAAAGGAATTTTTTTCGACCTAAGCTCAATTTTAATAGCCGAGGAAAAGATGGTGTCAGAAAATGAGCTAAGCTCAAACACATTTTTCTCTGTGAGATGAACAGTGCCAGATTTACCACTAGGCCGATTAGGCCGCGGCCTAGGGCCGCCAGCAAAAGGGGGCCGCAGAGGATTGGGAAAAACATTTTTTAGATAAAATTTAAAAAAAATAATTTATTTTAAACCACCAGTTTGCCGCGATCACAGGTGACCACAATGATGTCTCCGTGGACCGAGGGAGATGTTCACGATTTTGCCGCGGCCTCGGGTGCCTGTGATGATGTCCCGTGATTGCGGCCCGCGGGAGACGTTCATGATTTAGCCGCGGCCGCAGGTGACGGGGATGTGTCATTATGATCGCAGCTCGCAGGAGACGTTTACGAAGTAGATGCTGTATCGAGTTGTCAATGATGATGTCCCCGTGATTGCGGCCCGTGTGCGGGAGATGTTCACGATTTCGCCGCGGTCACAAGTGTCGATGATGATGTCCCCGTGATTGCGGTCCGCGGGAGATGTTAACGATTTCGCCGCGGCTGGGGGTGTCAATGTGGACGTTCCCGTGATGGCTTACCGAGGAGGATGTTTACGATTTCGGCACGGCCGCGGGTGACAATGATGAAGTCCTCATGATCGCAGTCCACGGGAGATGTTTTAACACGAATTTGCCGCGATCGCAAGTGTCGATGATGATGTTCACGTGATTGCGGCCCGCGGCAGATGTTCATGATTTCACCGCGGCTGTGAGTGTTGATGATGATGTCCCCGTGATCGTGGTTCACGGGAGATGTTAACGATTTTGCCGCGGCTGGGGGTGTCAATGAGGACGTTCCTGTGATGGCTTCCCGAGTGGAATGTTTACGATTTCGGCACGGCCGCGGGTGACAATGATGAAGTCATCATGATCGCAGTCCACGGGAGAGGTTTTTAACACGACTTTGCCGCGATCGCAAGTTTCGATGATGATGTCCCCGTGATTGCGGCCCGCGGGAGATGTTCACGATTTTACTGCAGTCCCGGATAACTATGATGGCTTTGACTTGGTTTAGGAGAGATGTCCACGATTTCATCCAGGATCACAGGTGTCGATGATGTTCCCTTGATGTATAGGAGATAGTCACTATTAATTACTTCCGCCTTCCGCGATCGCAAGGAATTTTCACCACAGGGGGAGGGCCGCTCAAGTAATTTGGCCTAGGGCCGCAAGTACCCTAAATCCGGCACTGGAGATGAACAATATTTTATGTCATACTGCACCATTGTTAAAGCTAAATAATTTACAAACGGAAATTCCGTACATTGTTTATACCTTTGTAAATTAGTTCCCAGAATGGTTTCCTTCATGTTTTGATACAAACAGCTGTTACTGTTATTTATATGTATTATGTATCACTCCACCAACACAATATTTTACCACCAAAATTCTTTTACTTTTTTTATTCGTCTGAATGTCTAAAAAGTCATATATTTTCATTTTCAGTTACATATTATACAATACAACAAAATGACACAACAAAGATTTATGGTGATTCAATGTTAATCGGGACTACTAACTTACGTCAGTGAAATCAGAAAACAAATTTTTCAGATATACAAATTTTACAGCTGATGTACTAGACTCCAGTTGATTTATTTCTCTCTAGAGCAAAGAGTTACTTTAGTCCCGCAACACATGTAGTGAAAAAAGCTGTTTTTGCAGCAGTATGACAAAAATAAATATTATTTAAGCTTTACCACACGACTTGTTAAGCTTTTCACACGGTTCATTAGTGTGTGTTCGAAAAAATATACATTTACTATTTACAATAAAAAGGTTATGGAAGAAGAAATGAACTACGAAGAAAACCAAACTCCACTAGTTTTTTTGAGCTATGTTTGCCAAGATTGAGACAGATAATGTAAATTCTCATTTCCCTTGTTGGGAGATGTAAAACCAGGCCCTATCGCTGATTATTTGATTTTACGTTTCAGCCTTGATGAAAATTACCATCTGCAAAAAGACTGAAACATCACCTCATGCTTAGAAATAAGCTACAAAAGATCAGCAATATGACACGGTTTTACTCCAACGCCACGAATTTTTTTTTTTTTAGAGTTTGGCGGTCCACATGGACTAACTGCCTGAGCGTGGAACGTATCCAGCAAAGCAAGGGGTGAGCTGGTACAATAAAAAGGTGAGGTGTACTGATAACAGTTTTCAGCAGTCACCAGGATCCGAACCCACGACATCGCTGCCTTGGGCTTGAAGTCTGTGACTGACAGTGTGATTGTGGAAGCCTTTAGTCTAAATGAAAATGTTGTACGGTTTGATGCGGTTTTTTTGGTTTGTATTGTATTAAAAGAAACTTCAACTGTTATTTATTTAAACCTATTAAAAATGTCAGTTCTGGATAACTCGACAACCCCTAAACTCGAGGTTGTCACAAATTGTTGATTTAGTGAAGATTTACTGAACACCAGGATTGAACACTACAACTACAGAATCAGTAGGCCCTATTCAATTAATGTTTCATCTAATCACGAGGAGCGAGCTGGTCTAGTGGTAGAATGTAGGGCTTCGGTCCCCGAAGTCCTGTGTTCAAATCCCGCCAATGTATTTTTCCTATGTGATAAGGCCCAGCCTTCTGGGCCTCACGTAATGTGTATAACGGTTCTGAGCTAAAACCTAGCCACCTTGAATGTTAAAGTGGGACAACTAAGAAAAGTATTTGATCAAATTACTTACCAGAGCTGTATTGTGTATACTGCTGGTATTGAGGGTGGAAGTTATGGATGGCATCCGTCATTATGTCTTTTGGATTCATCGTCTCCTGAAATACAAAAGAACAATTGTTTAGTTTGGAAACAAAGGAAGGGAACTTTTTTTATTCACTGTTTCATACATTTTCAAAGACAGTGTGTGATGGTTGATGGGGACTACCAATTAAGCTTGAGAAAACAAAAGGACACAGAAAGAAACTTTCTGATTAAATACAACGCACACATGGTCAGGAACTGTTCGACCGTGTAAACGCTTACGGTCAAAATCAATCGTTCCTGATAGATTTCTTCCTGTGTCTTGTCAAGTGCATCATTAGTGTCAGAACTATCTGATTTGTGTACAAGTTGGCTCAAGTGAAGCCAACACACAGAAAACACCTGCAAAGATACAAATGTAAAAATTAACGATTTCGCCACACGTGGGCGATGTTGACGGTTTTGCCATAAAATAATTATGTTGCTGTGACCACTGAACATCCCCATAACCATGGGCACCAATCAATAATATAGCCTATTCCATGGAAGATGTTCTTGATCTTGCTATTACTAGGGCCTTTTTTTTAATCGGCCAAGAGATTTTAGGTTTGTTGGGGGTGCAACGAAGAGAGAAAAACTCTCCTGCAGAAGACGTTCACGATTTTGCCGTAGTTGTGGAGGACGTTCACTATGTTGCCACGACTGCAGAAGACTTTCGGGACATTTTGGACCCGACACTACCCTACCTGAATAAAAAAAAGCCTGCTAATAACCAACACACATTTGTAGGCAAAAAATCTCCAAGTTACCTTCAAGCTGGACGAGATGCTCTGCATGGTGACACTGCGGCCAGAAGCATCAGTGATGCAGCCTGTGGCATACACCCTGTAGGGGAAAGCAGCTCGGAGTGCGAGGGCAGCAAACAGCATCTCAATACAGATGAGGAAGTTCTGGTAGCCGGCAGACACTGTACCAGCACTGGTCGGAGTCCCGTAGCTGTCCACCACTGGCTCTATCACACCAGCCTTCTCTAGCACAGCCAACAGCGTACCTGGGACACAATTAGCTACAATTAGTCCGTGAACCATGACTAGAAGAAGTTAACAATTTTGCCTCGACCGCGGAAGACCATTTCATCATGTTCACCATTTCATCATGACTACAGAAGACTTCATGATGTGACCATGGCCGCAGAAGATATTTACAACCTTGGAGTCTTGTGTGACAGCATAATATAATCACAATTTCACCAGGATATATGGCACACCATGTACAATATTATGTATAAACTGGTTTTAGTAATACAATTAATAATATTTTTAATTGCCACTTTCCAAAAGCACTCGATTCTGTCCCAAGAAGGGTAAAACTTTTGATCCGACCCGACCTGAAGTATAAAAGTGTGGCCTGCAGACCCCTACAATAAAAAGCTTACGTAACAAGACAAATCTTCACATTTACCTTGCCAAAAAGAGAGGAAGATGACCGACTTGATGGTGCAGAACTTAAGCACAGGTTCAAACGGTGTCAGCAGTTCTCGAGTTGCGAAGTAGAAGAGGTAGAGACCATACAGAGCCAGACTGACGGAGAAGTTGTATATGATGGTGACATAGAGGTAGCCACCGTCCAAGCTGCAGAAGAAACAAACAAGGTAAATAAGATGAGAAACGTAATGGGAAAGTTAGTAGAGTTCATGAGGTAAGATTTGGACTTTTCTTAATGCTAAGTGTTTTTAACTAATCTACGTTTCAAGAGGTTTTAAGTGAGCCTATCTCCTAACTCTACATTTAGCTACCTAATGAATATTCCTAACATTATTAGGTAGCTAGATGAAGTGTTAGGATAGGCGCAAGGCTTTAAGCAGCTATCACTTATAATTATTGTATGTGCTGCATACTACCATTACTACACACAACACAGTTAATCAACATTTACAAGCATCTCCGCCTGATATCTTAGTAAATGAAAACTTGTAACTAAAAGCACGAATATCATTTTATTTGATAGTTTATAGGTACTAAATGGATATTTTGACTTGTGATTATGGGTTAAAATTGGGAAAACCATAATGGTTTCAATGGAAGACAAACTACAAGCCTTGGAATAACTTTTTAGGAACATAATTTCATGAAGTTTAAACTATTCCAAAATTTTTATTTGGAGGAGAGCGAAATGGTCTAGTGTTACATGACAGGACTTCAGTCCTTGAGGTCCCAGGTTCAAATCCTGCCAATCACCAATGGATTTTATCAAAGTAATTATGCCACGACCCTCTAGGCCTAGCTTGAAGTAATGTGTACAAACGGTTCCAGGCTAGAACCTAGCATCCTAGGACGTAAAGGTGGGTCATGAGAAAAATAATGTTTAATTTTTGTGCTACCCCGACTTTTTGTTTATCGGACTTAATCACGGCCGGTTTAAGTGTAGTCGAAACTGTACTTTACAACATGTCAACTAACCTCCAATCACCATCGTGGTAGTGACCGAAGGACTGCAGTACAATGATGACAAACGCCATGACTGGCTTAACCAGACAGAACTGAAGAGTAGCTTGCTTGCAGAACCTGAGGAATCCAATGGTGTAGGTCTTACCTCCCAGACAACACGTTCCATACACGCAGTTGGACCTGAACAGAGAAAACAGTCCTTGTAAAAAATTGTTCATTATTTTTAATCAGATAAAACAAATAGGATTTTGATTTAAATCGTCGTTGGCAAAACCGAGACGGGATGTGCTAGTAACAAACACATGGACTGTTATTTACACCTAACTTTCCAAGAACCAAGAGATTTATTGCCATTAACAAGCTATAACCACTTACAAGGAATAGGCATAGTAAACAGAAATAAAAACTAAAACTAGAAAAATAGTGGGTTCTAAATTAAAAATCAATATTAACATTAGACACTAAATACTCTGTTATAGCCTTTAATAGTATGGATTGTTGACTCAAACATTTTGGACTTAAACCTATTGAAAGGAACCAGTTTTGCTGCCAGATCTAATTTATTAAAAAACTGAATGCAATTTATTTTATGGCAGTTTTATCTGTTTGTGCCAATCTGAACATGAAAAATATACAAATTTACTACAGTCCAGGGTGCATATAAGGTGAAACTGAGTAAAGGGTGAAAGAAATAATAATAAGCTAATCTTAAAACTGGACAAGATCAGCTACTTCTTTAGCATATTTTTTTAACAGTTCTAGTTTTACATCAAAAAGCGAAAGTAAGAAAAGAATCATTCCTCTAATTTCACTACAAGTTTCTTAACCATTACAACAACTTTCAAGGATAGGTATGACAAAGAAAACTACTATTTGATTGTTACGTTTATAAAGGTAATCAGTCTATACTTTATCAATGCACCAAATGAACAGTTAGGTGAAGGTAAAACCTAAGAATATTCTGGTTACCTCCCAATCTAGTAGGCTATATAAATGTCCGTATTATCAGTGTTTTTATCTGTAATATGCAAAGACTGTTATAATAGGGAAAGTCCCTCAACATTTTGGGAACCATGATTTGATCATTATAGATGTCTTCTTCACTATCTAAAGTCAATGGTAGAACTGTTTCACCTCTGGCAAGAGTGTCAGATGAAACCCTTAAACTAAATGTAACAACTTAAGAAAGTTTTTAAATTACAGACCAAGGTTGAGTCTAGGATTCAACATGATTAGTTTAATGTTTCTCTTTTGTAAAAAACATCTTTTGAAATTTTAAACCTTAAAAATAATTTTCTAAAATCAATTCTTGTACAGGGGAACACCATAGTTTTCTGACCACCTTAAGAATGTTGTAAATTTTTATTATTACAGTAGTTGTAAAATTGATTTGTTATGTAATTTTTTTATTTAATTTTTGTTCACATTGTGTGACGTTTATCGATGTTATGTAAAATAATTTGCCTGACAATAAAGATATTATTTCTGTAAAGTTTCATAAGTTTATTCAACTATGGACAAATCCTCACCAAATAAAATCGCCAGGGAAAAATATTGTTGCAAGTTAAAGTACTTGAGAGAGTGAGAAGAGCAGTAAAAGTTTGCACAAACCTGATTGGCTTGCCTCGTATCTCGCTCATAATATTGCCTTCTCCTCCGAGATACTCGTAGCACAGACTGAGGAAGTTGTAGATCACAAAAGCTGAAACAACCAAACTCGTCAAAACCATTCTTTTTAAAAATATTAATTTTCTATTTAGGCCTACTTTTTGTTTGTGTATGTCTATGTCTGAGGTATTTTTTAATGTTTTTGTACGGAAACGGTCCGAAACCCTGGTCTTGTATCTGATGTTGACCTTTTGTAAGCCATTAATTGATGAAAAATTACATCTGAGTCCATTTACGATCTTGTTTGGAATCGATCAGGCCGGCCTTTGGATTTAAAGGCAACCTTTTGGCTACCCAGACACCTAGTTAATATAAGATTGCAAATCTTATGTCTTTTGGTCGACAAGTGTATTTTTTCAGAATCAAAAACGTTACTGTAATTAAGTATAGGTTGAAATAGCAACTCCGCAATTAAACTTAAAGACACATCATAAATAAGTACAACAACATTAATAACTTAACAAGATCTTTAATATATGCCCAAGCAGACCCATTTATGCAGGGATACAAAAATTCTTACTTTTTTAACGTACAACTACATTTCAGACCAAGACATTTTTCTTTTGCTAATTTTAAAACTAATGCTATATTTTTTTCTTGTGTGGATGGAAATGAATTTTAAGTGTAGGTAATAATTGTAACGTTTAAATGTAAGTGAATGAGTGTATGAAGTGTGTGAAAGGTTATGAAAGTAAACATGTACTCATTGTACTTCATTGTGTAAATTACAAAAATATTTAATCTAACAAAAATTGTTCAAGTATAATAAATTAGAATTCATCCTAAACTCTTTATGTAGCTTGAACCATTGAACTGAAGACTTCTACTGAAAATCATGCTTCCCATTTTAACCTCACTTATCATGATGTTTAAGCCATTTCCCCTCCAGTACAACAGTCAATGGGCCGTGACAGATTTACAATGGCAGTTATGGATTTCAGAAGAATGGTTCATTAACGTTTGAGGTGATCATATCCTTGAAACAATTCAACTCTCGAGAGATTACAAAAGACAACTTTCACGGTTGACAAACCACACCAGACATGGGCTTAAATTAACACAGCATGGTGGTTGTATGATTTGGTTTGGTGGGGAGCGAGCTGGACTAGTGGAGGTGCGCAGAGCTTTGATCCTTGAGGTACTGGGTTCAAATCCCACCAATGGATTTTATCCATGCAATAATGCCACAACCCTCTTAGCCTTAGCTTGAGGTAATGAATCAAACGGTTACGAGCTAGCCCAGCATTCTATGTTAACCCATTGGAGAAATTAATGTGCTGTCTGCAGTGCCCAATGTCAGCAATTAATTTTACAGAATTTGTAGATTTTTTAGAATTGTTATAGAAAGAAAACTGTATGAGAAACGCTCGTGAGTCGGCACCAATGGGTTAAGTTAGGAAATGAGAATGCCATAGGAGCGTAGTTCTTACTAAGCCTCAGACTCACAAAAGTATTAGTCAAGTACAAAATTCACAATACCTTCATAGCAGTCTCGTACAGTGAAGAAGTAAACGTAGTAACTCTCGCTGTTGAAGAACAACAAACTGACCCACGAGTGCAGGCCGTAGATGGGGACAATGAAGAGAATCCTGATGATCCATCTCTGCTCCGAAGGGTTGGTGTACCAACGCAGATGTCTGTATATCTGCAACAAGATATCAGCTGATTAGTTGGTTTAGTACAAGATTAGACTTAGGAACAATCTGAACGCCTTTTATGCGACTTCCAACTTCTGCGTTTGTCGGTTGATTATTTGTGCCAACATAACCTTACTTAACCTAACCTGACCTGACTCAGTGAGCAACAGCCAAAATCTGGGTGATTCATTTAATTATTTGTACAGTAGAACCTCTTTAATCCGAACTAATTGGGACCAGGGGTAGTTCGGACTATTGAATTGTTCGGATTACAGAACATATTGTTGTTTTTACATAACAATAGCTAGGGATAAGTGGAAAATGCTTTATAAAGTAAAATACTGTGTTTATTTAATACAGTAGTAAACATAGGGAATAAAATGTAATGTACATTACAATTGAAATAATTACGGTGCGTATATCAATAAATACAGTATACAATAAAGAACTACTGTACTGTGTATAGAGTACAGCAATGAGGCGTTCGGATTAGTGGACGTTCGGATTACAGGGGTTCGGATTAAAGAGGTTCTACTGTACTAACTAAACTACCGGTAACCTAACCTGAGATTAGCTAACCTAACCTGACTTGAAGTGACTCAGTGTGCAACAGGCAACTGCTGGTTTGTTGGTTCATTATTTGTACCAAACCTAACCTCACCTGATCCAACCTAACCTAAGATTATTAGGTGCGCTCGTTTTCGTCGTACTAATGTTCAGCTACAAAAAAACTTTACTAAAGACACTGGTTTGAACGCCCAATAAATCAATGGATGGAGGGAAAATAAAATATTTTTTTTTCTTTTGGATGGTGATTTTAACTACCTCTAAAAGTCAATGACTTTGTTTGGTAAGCTAGAGTTTAATGTTCAGAAAAAAGAGTTTTTCAGTGAGGATTAACCCTACATTTTAAAATTAAAATAATTTCAGCGATGGCCTGCGGCGAACAACCTCTAACTATTAGAATTCCAATATCGTAGGTAAAATAGAATTTTGATAGTGTTTTTTTGTTTACAATACCAGAAAACACAAAAAGGCATTTGAGCTGAAAAAGTACCGTCTAAGTGAAAGTCAAAAATGTAACAGGTCATCTAAAGGAAAAAATCTGGTTACCCAAATGCTTATAACACTTGCCTTCTTATTAGAATGTCGCTAGTGCAACGCTAAGCAGGTTGATTCTAGACCAAGATGCAATTATTTATCATATGGTTATCTATCTAACAAAAATTGGACATAATAATAATACCAGGGTGTGGACTGTTTCCTTACATAAGAATCATTAAAATTTCAATGGTGTGGAAAACGCAAATATATTTTTTTTAGAAACAAAAAATTAATATTGGTATTTATAATTACTTTGACAATCGAAATGAAAAGTTAACACTTGGGGAAAATACTATATTGGTTTAGCAAATTTCCAGCACAATATTTCTCGAAGTTGGAATTGCATGCGAAATGAGTCCTCATCCCAGGACAAAAGTTGATTAAGTTTCTTCAAAGCATGAAAGTTATTCCGGCAAAAAGGCTTTAACATGGAATGTAACAATATGGTAAGAGGGGTTATATTCTATTACTCCCCGGAGTGACTAAATTAGGTCAACGTTTGTTTAATCATACGTCTCTTCACTTAACCCTGTTATTTAACCGCCAGTATTTATGCTGGAAATGGAATGTGATAAGGGTTTTTCTTAGCGAGGAGTGGATAATTTTAATGAGGCACTCTACTAAAGTGAGATAATCACTGAGCAGGACCTCTCGGCAAACTTTGAAGACTAGTTATTTTTTAGTGCTAAAAGGAAATTTTTACACTTTTATGAATGAATGTGATTTATTTTTCAAAATCAGATATATTTTATTTAACGAATGTAAAATAGCATGTATCTCCTACTAGAAAATGGTTAAGCATGAAATAGCAAAATTTATGTTTTGAGGGTAAAAAATCTGAAACAAACATATTTTTGCCTCCAAAAACCCTGTTCCCATCCATAGACCGATCTAAACTGGTTAGTGAACTCGTTAGAATAGTTAGAAGTAGTTTCAGACAATTTTTTATTTCATTGAAATCAGAAGATTTGTCTCAGAGTTATCGAGCTAACGGACACATATATATGAATTTGATAAACGGAAGGTAGTTTTGGCCTCCAGAGTCATCAAAACATAAAAGTAAATCGGTCCTGGGACCAGGCCTTCAGGACTACAAACATAGATGTTTGTAGACCTGTCAGGCCTTACCATGAGACCATAATAGCTTATTTTCTGTATGAGAAATTTGCTAAAATAAATATTTTTCCTTCCATAATTTTTTGTCCAGATACACTGAACAATGGTAAAGTCTTAATATTCCTAGTAAAACAATAATAAAAAAAAATGTCAGCCAATACAGAAACAACAACAAATTCAAAAATAATGAATCCTTAGAGTTTCACCCATATTGATCCCCAACATAAAACTCTACTATTTCATCGCTAAAATCCTTTCCATCCAACCTCTTTAAAGCAAAAATTAGTCAACATTACATTTAAGCAGAAATAAATTACAGAGGTAAGTTAAATTGGATTTCAACTTCAAAACCAATAAAAGAAAAACATTTATTAAATAACCAAGTTGATTAATCATAGCAGTGTGTTTTTACTGCTAATCAAGAACAGACATAAATGTACTTGAGGCTAAACAAGAGTGATGAATAAAAACCAGTTGATTAAATGTTTGATGAAGTGAGTTGTGCAGCGATGTTGAACTTGGGAATCTTCAGATCTTCGTCATTCTCTCTCTAAATATTACGAGAAATATTATGTCTTGCTTATAAAATCAGGACAGCAAGAAACTTTGAAGTAAAGTTGAAATATGAGCATAGTTCTGATTACATTAAGACTATAGCTTTAGCAAAGTTTATTTATGAAATGAAATGATGAAATGAATGAAATGATATTTATTCGTCTATTTATTCGTTTAAGCCACAGCATAGAGATTTTAAATACTTCTTTACGATTTTCAAAACTGATACACAATTAGTTTCACATCGGGAATTTGACAAAGTGAATTGTATTGATCCTTAAATTTTATATTTGAAAATAATTAAAATGTTATCCCTTCTAGGTTCTAGCCCGGAATCGTTTCCCACATTACTTCAGGCTAGCTTTAGAGGGGGTTGAGGCATTATCACTTAGATAAAGTCCATTGGTGATTCACTGGATTTGAACCGGTGAGCTCGGGGATCGAAGTCTTGCGATTTACCACTAGACCAGCTCGTTACCCCAGAAAACAATTAGAGTACCATCAATAGAACCAATTTTAAGTATTATTAACTTAAATTTATATTTACTAGCCTACCGGAAGAATCAATGACAACTGAAAACTGACAATTCTTTATTGCACATAACTTCTGTTACAATTATTACAAAAGTAATACACAGACAGGTACATTGTCAAGGTTTCATTTTAAAACTTACAATGTAATATTTTGCTTGAATGTTTCATTTTAAAATTTAATGGTCTAAGACAGAGTACTGAGTCAAATTATCAATGGGGCAATATGAAAGTCCTCTATACAGTCGGTTGCAATCTTTATGTGACATTTTATCTAAATTGGTCCAAAGGTTTCCGTGTGACGAAAGGCAGAGGCCTTATTTATTAAAGTAACCTATGTATGTAGATTGATCACATTTCTAGAAAAATATATAACAAATAACTATTCCGCTTTCAATAAATTACTCATCATTTAGTCAAAAGTCAATGATACTTTCTACGGAACCACAATTCCAATATTTATGCAGCAAGAACTAGACGGCCGACCCATACTATTAATAATGCAAAGGCAAAGGGCGTTATAACTCTTCGGCACAAATCCTCACACACACACATAAACTCCGTTTCTTATCGAGGGTCAGTGACAAGGATTTTCAGATGGGTAAAAAATATTTTTCTGAGTCTTGTTAAATTTTTGAACCCATTTAGGATAATATACGTTAATGTAGGTAGTTAAAAATACCATTGACGTTTGAATCCTAAAGGACAAATTGAAATTCCATCTATAAGGATCAGCTGTCGCCTATCAATCAAATCGGACGCAGTTAAATAAGCCACTCAGAACGCACTTTAGTTTAAACTTTTTTCACTTTTACTTTATACTTTTCAATGAAATGGCGACCATACAAAGTAGGTATTTTAAGCCAAGTATGAGTTACCAAGATAGCTGATATTAAGTTAAAGTTACATTGACTTACTAAAATTATAATAATAAGGACAATATTGTACAACAGTAGTTATTTTACATCAGAAATCTGTTGTTGGCACAGTGATCAGAACAATTAGGTTCATCTTCAAAATAGAGATGTAAAGTATACTTTACAGTACCGGTAACACAATAAAGAAGTACAACAAATTAAATTTAGAAATAGTAATAAACATTGGATTAAAACTGTAGGCCCTATTCTTTTAATTGTCTTACTAAATATTACTGTTCATTAAAAAAAATTAAAAGCAAAATACATAAACAACAATATATGTTGTAATATTTTTTTAACAAATAAAAGTTCACCGGAATAAATTACCAGTAATAGGTCTCAATTTTCTTTTTTCTAAAGGGTAAAATTATGAAATTAATGTATTCTTATTTGCATTTCAACTCAATTGACATTTTATAGTTTTTTTTTAGTCAGCAGTCCAAATGCTGATTGCCATCTAATACCATACTATCTAAACCTTTTTAGACAGCATCGTTAATTCATAGCCCAATGATAAACTACACAATATTATGAATCGGGATCGAACTAGGAAATTATGTTGTGTTTTATCCATCAACCATAGAGACGATCTACATTACGATCAGAGTATGGTAACAACGACCGATTGCACGATATTGTTCCGCCTGGCGCATCAAGACAGGATGACCAAAGTGTCTGCGACTGACTGGATATGGGTGAAAGCTAAAATCAGAGGAAACAGAGAGAGGTTGTGTGTGTAGTCATTCATAGGTGACAGATAACAGGGGATTAGTAACCAGCTTGCC